ATTATGTCTGCTTCCTTTCTTTTTGGTTTAGGTTTTGATTTTGATTTTGATTTTGATTTTGATTTCAACTTTCAGAAGTTTCGAAACGGTATTTAATATTTCACTTATCTACATATTTATATATATATGTGTAGATGTCAAATAATGCGTCCTCTTCATTACATAGGGACCATCGTTAATCAATTCCAATAGTCGGCACTACATTTTATATTTTTCTGAATTTATCATATTGTGTTTGCTGGTTGGTATTTGTTGATTTCTTATTGCACGTACAGATTTAGAATTATATAATAGAAAGTACTAGCTCATCGATATTCTTTACTACTTTCTATTTGGTTTTGATTAAAGAATTTCTAGTAGGTTTCCACTATTAATTCTAGTTCGAAAAATTTTTCAGAAACGTACCTAGCTAGTTAACCAACAATATAAAGATGTTGTTACGATTATCTAGAAGGTATCTTAATAAAAGATCATTTAAATTTGGGGTTTTGGGTTTACTTCTCATTGTTTTAACTGTGTTAACTATTAAACTTAATGAAACAAAATTTAATAGAAGAATCGATAGAAAATATGAATATCATGATCATGAAATTAATGAAGATGTCGTTTTTGATAAATTCCCAAGAGTAAATGAATCTTACAATATTATGGATGATTTAGCTGATTCTTTTAGTCCTGATAAAAAGGGTAAAACTCCTAAAGCTTGTTATATCACTCTAGTTAGAAATGACGAACTTGATGATATGATTAAATCAATCAAACATTTACAATCAAGATTTAAAGAACATTATAAATATGATTGGATTTTTTTAAACGATGAAGAATTCACTGATCATTTCAGATCATCTATTGAAAACGCTGTAAATTCTACAGTCAAATTTGGTTTAGTACCAAAAGATCATTGGTCATATCCAGATTACATTTCTGAAGATCAAGCTGCTCAAACTAGAATTGATATGAAAGACATCATATATGGTGATTCCGAATCTTATAGATTTATGTGTCGTTATCAATCTGGTTTCTTTTGGAGACATCCTCTTTTAGATGAATATGATTGGTACTGGCGTGTTGAACCAAATATCGCATATTACTGTGATATTTTAACTGATCCTTTCCAATATATGCAAGATAATGAAAAAGTGTACGGTTTCACAATTACTATTCATGAATTCGAAGAAACAATCCCAACTCTATGGAATACCACTGTAGATTTTGTTCAAAACCATACTCAGTATGTAAGTAAGAATAATTTATTAAGATTTGTTACTGATGTTAGCGGTGATGATTATAATTTATGTCATTTCTGGTCAAATTTTGAAATTGCAAACTTAAATTTCTGGAGATCAGAAGCCTATAGAGAATATTTCGACTATTTAGATCGCAAAGGTGGATTCTTCTATGAAAGATGGGGTGATGCTCCAGTTCATTCAATTGCTGCAGCATTATTTTTACCAAAGGATAAGATTCATTTCTTCCCAGAAATTTCCTACTATCATGGTCCTTACACAAATTGTCCAATTGATAAGACAATTTACAGTCAATATAATTGTAATTGCGATCCAAAGGAAGATTTCACTTGGAAAGATTACTCATGTGGTCTATTATATCATAATATTCAGCATATTGAAAAACCTAAGAACTGGAGAAAACACACCGGTTAATCTACAATTGTTCTACATAGAAAGTAAATGAAATAAAAAAATGCATACAATACATACGTCATAAATATAAGTTATTTAACAAATAGATTCGTTATAGAATTTCAATTTAAGTTCTCAAATAATTACGATGCAATCATATGTTAAACTGGGCTACCTTTCATTATAAAACATCGATGTTTTGTAGTGATCTGCATAAAAAGATTATTTAAAATTGATAATAATTATCCTTAAACTTATATAGAAATATAATATACTGTTTTAAAAAATGTAATATAATGTACTGTACTGTTTAATAAAAATCCTTCCCAATATTGTTAATTATTTTACCCAGAAATTAAGTTAACGTCATTAACTATTTGTGCCTGTTTGAAACTATATTAGAATAGACCAGTGTTGATTGTAATCAACTTTAAGTTATGCTTGATCGTAAGTAGAATATAGTCTCATAAATTATGTTTACTTGTTAAATGTGTCTCCTTTTTTTATTATTTTTTTTGCAAAATTTTTGTTATGTCATTATAGTTTTTAATTTGTCCTAACGATTACTATGGTTTAATGGTGACACAGGCAGGTCATCAAAAAAGAATTGGGTATCTTGTATATTACGGTGATCATAATGGTTTGAAATTTGGACTGGAATTGGGATATTTATTGGAGTCGCTGCATTCGACATTGGTCTTGATTCTATTCTGTCCTCGTCTTCCTCTAAAATTCTATACCTCGTTAAATCATTACCGTCCAAACGACGTACCAGACGTTCTTCTAGCATGGATTGTTGGAAGCTTGGCTTCTGTTGACCCAACTTATAGGTTTGGAATTGAGGTGGAATTTGTTGGTTCCAATTTGGAGTCATAGGAGTTGCTTCACAATTAAATTGATTAGTAGAAGGGTAATATTTTGTAGGGAAGGTAGTTAGGAATTTCGAAGAATAGGAATATGATGGTGATGACGTTAATGTTGAAGAAGAAACAGAAGAAGGAGGTGAAAAATTGTTATTCGAAATATATGAAGAATTTGAAGAAACACTTGAAGAAGAATACGATCTTGACTTCCTGCGTTTCAATTCTTCAGGTGTCAATAAATCAGAGCATTCAGAAGGGATATAATATTCTTCGAACTCATCGAACTCATCCAAACCAGTAGATCCATACAATAATGAATCTGACATTTTTGGACTAATCTTTTGACTAGAGGTTGAGAAAGATTTCTGGTTTTCTTGTGATGGAGGGTCAATATGTAAATTGGCACAATTGGAACCGAACTTACAATTACCTTTTTGGTAATATTTACAAGGAATTGAATTTGCTGAGTTAATAACTTTCAATTCATGTGAGAAAGGACAATGATCCCCAGCTTGGCAATTACCTTGTTTGAAAAATTTACATGGCACATGAGAATAGTTCTTTGAAGGAGTTGAATGTTTAGTTATTTTCAAGTGTTCTAGTATAACTTTTTGTTGTTGCAACGGAAAGTGATTAAATTCCTGTTTACCCATATTGATCAATTGCTGAGTAATTTATAAGGTCCAATTTAATTGTTAGTGTCAGTAAATAAGGGGAATAGGATAAAGTCGGTAGGTGTTTAAGTCTTAAAAATATATAAATAGACATAGATCAAGATAATATAGAAAAAATACCACAGAGTGATTTTTGACATTATTTTATGATATCAATAATCTATGTTTATATATGAAGACTAAACAATACAGCAAAAGTTAATGGTGAAGGGAATTAGTGAGTCGATTCAGATTTTGACATATTTGAAAAATTATAATCAGTTAAGTTATAAAGGATGACCCCTAACGATTGATATATATTTATGTTTTTTCGTATTATTAAAAAATAAATCGTTAGAGACCCATTATTACAATTGATAATGATATGATATGATATGATATGATATGATATGATATAATAGTGGTACGAAGTTTAATGTAATGTTAAGAGAAAGGAGGACACACACGCACCCACCCACCCACACACACACACACATATTTATTACAGAAAAGTACGACAACCTTTAAACCATCGAAATGGATTCGGTGTATACACTACAACAAGAACCTTAAAAGAGAAAGAGACATACATACACCCAATATAAAACAACAGTAAAGGAGGGAAATGTATTAAGGCAGGCACATAGGGTTAATTGATAGAATAGTGACGACCAAAGAATGATAATGGGGAGAGAAATACAAAGAGAAAGTGTGAGTGTGTCGTCTGTAGGAGATGTATCAGATGACAAGGTCAAGATAAGAGCAACAACAAAAGAAAGTAAGTTGAAGAGTTGGTAGGAGTAAGAACAGAAGCTACTAACAGTAACGATACTAATTGATGATACAATAACTGTTATCAGGCTAAAAAGATACATGCTCTTCTGACATTATTTGGAAGAATGGGATAAATGAATAATAAAATCAAAATGAGTTTATGAGGCTGTGAGAGAGTTAGTTAGTTGGTGGTGAATTATAATTAAAAA